GTTGTCGTAACTTGGACATAACAAAGAAATGCCATGTTTTCCCAGTGAAAGACGTCCTCTGTGGAGTCCCGCCCCATCGAGCCGGCAGTAGCTCTCAATGGCCGGTCAACTTGTGTGAGGCTTCGCCGCCCAGGCAAATGAAATAGGACGCGTTTTTACTGCCAACGTTCTATCGTGTATGCACTAGCTCGTTGTACATCGGGCCATCATGTTGGAAATGGACAACAGGATTTTTTATTTGGCAGAGGCTATCTATTTAAGCGTTTTTGCTGTCTGCTCCTGTCAGGAGATCCGTTACAGCTGAGCTAGGTACAAATGAATGATGGCGGGGAAATATTCTGCCATACATCACCGGAATTGCTTCATGGTCATTGCTGCTGTGAACCCAAATGACGACTGCAAAGAAAAGTAAACTGCCTCAGGCAGTGAGATGACCTTTTAGTTGCGAGACAAGCAATCTACTGCTTTAAAGGACACAAAGTACTGTTTGTTTATTTGGTGTACACAAAGTTATGTGATGCATACTTCATTTCAATTGAAGTCTATGCCGAGTCAAAACACATCAAACCATCCACTTTTCACTAAAACTGTACCCCATAGTAAGGTTTGGGGTTGTGAGAAAGATCATCTGCAAGAAACGGAATGCTTGAAAATACAGAGCCTTTGCTGTATGACACTCAATAACTTATGGACTAGGTTTAGTTCAGTCCCAATGACCGCACAACCATGACGTTACTTGAATATTATTGCCTCTAGGCTGATAACAAAACGTATCGTTTGCGTCAGGGAGCGAAAGGTATTCGCATCAGACCTGAGATAAGCTCACGTGAAAATATAAATCATATAACTTGTTATCATAACTTACTGCTCATAGTTAGCAATTCAAAAGAAAAGATTCGGCACCGCATGCTACACCAGTAAACATCCTTAGTAGTACATTCATCCTCAGCTGCCAGTAGAGTTACTGACCGGCTCCACATCGTCAGGAAAGGTGGGTCACTCGGGGAGGACAAGCTCATGAGGACAAGAGGACAAGCATCTCGACGTCAACACCACGGGCGTCCAGGAATCCCTGGGTCCTGCCCTTGTTTCCCCGGTGATGAGACATTGCTCGACGAACCGAGACGGGACTCCACATTCGGCTGATGGCTCGGACCGCAGGACCCGGGGTGGCCAGAGCCACCCGACAGCTGCCGGCCGAGCGGCGGCCCAAGTGGAGCGCGCGCCACCGCACGCAGCACCTCAAGCTGTCTGATGTCCGCCGAAAACTCATTACCCCCGCCGTCCACGGCGAGCCGCAGCCATGTGTTTGACATAACCATGTTCCGAAATGGCAGCCGGCGCAGCGTATTGGCTTTGGAGTCCGGAGGCGCCCCGTCGACGGTCCCGTCGCTGACCCAATTCGAAGCAAATGCGTCCGAAATAGCCGGGTAAGTGCTCTAATGTTCATCAGTTAGTCCTGAGCCGCCGTCCGCAAATCAGCTGCCCCTGATGACGGCCGCACAGCATGGGTCAGCAGAGCACAGGAACGAAATCAGCAACCGGGAAGGAAAAAAGCAGGATGCCTCCCGAGCCGCCGTACCGCCGAATGCCAAGACCCAAATACAAAGCGTCCACCGGTCGGGAGATGGGCTGCCGCTAGCGCGCCAAACGGCACGCAAAGCGGGCGGTTTTGCCGCATTCAGACAGCATCCGGACCTAACTGTGCGGACTGGCGTCTGAATGCGATCGTGCCGGGCCGCCGTCATCTGGCCGCGCTGAGCGGCAGCGTCGGCGGTCTTCAAACCGCCGAGGGTCAGACGGCAGCTTGCGGCCTGCCGGCCGGTCGCACCGCTGCGCCCGGTCACACACACCTCCTCCGGACCAGCCGCTGACGCCACGGGGGCGGCCAGCCGCGGCTCGGCCTCGCCTGCAGGGCGAGCGGCAGCCGGCCACGCGCCGGGTTTGAGGCCCCCGAGGGTATGCATGAACGGTGCCGGCGCGCACCGCTAACCGGCGCGACGGAACCATCTCGGCGGCAGCCAGCGGCCGTGAAGTCTCTCCGAGCGGCGCTGCACCGCAACGGTACCCTCACCGGCCGGCCGCGTAGCGCGCGCCGCCGATTCGCCTCACGTGGAGGCCGCGGCGCGCCACTTGCGGCGAAAATCACGACCGATGGGTTTCGCGCCGGAAATCACGCGGCGAGGTCGGGCCGTGGCGACCTGTAGCCTGGTACCGAAGGAGAAGGGAAACCTCCCTCCGATGGACAATTAGCCATTGCTGGACGATTACACGGAGTGCAATGCATGCCGTCAGCCATTGGGAGTGCGAAACCATGCAGAGGTCACAATAATGCTATTCTGTCAGTCATAAGGTAACCTTGGGGATGACTGTCAGTCGGATGTGCCTACCTCCCCAGTGTTTGGGGCCAGAGCTGCTCCACCGGCGGTCCGGCGGCCGGTCTGCCGACGCTCTGCCGCCTTTCATCTCGCGCGCCGGCGGCACCTCGTCGCCGTCGACGCGGGTTCGTCGGCGCCGGCGCGAGCCTGGACGGGCGCCGGTCGGGGCTCGTCGGCGGGGCGGGGGTCGGGCCGTGCGGGCCGTGGCGGCGGGGGGAGCCCGGCCGGGCGCACCCGCGCCGCCGGCCTCCCGGCTCGCTGACACCTCGATCGGCTCGTAGGCCAATGTCGGCGTCTTGGGCGCCTTGGCGTCGATCTCGACAGTGGCGGCGTTCGCGCGGACCCCGGTCCTGGCCCCGCTCCTTATGCCTCCTGCACGTGTGCCGATGATGGTGGTTGCGCCCGCGCCGACGCGCGCCGCTCCGGCTCCGCCGCGCCCGCCATCCGGTTAAAGTGTTCGATGGCCCGACTGGCCGCACCGCTGCGTGTCAGCTCCTCGCGCGTCCTCGTCTTGGCGCGCTCCTCCTCAGTGGCCATCGCGATCCCGTCCGCGGAGAACACACGGCCGCAGCGCTAACGCCGGCGCGGCGACTGCGTCGGAGACGGCGACGCGCCACTAGACACCAACACCAGAGACCGCATCGCGGCGCAGGAAAGCAGCACCACACCACAGCCGCGCTCGGCCGCTCTCAGTCCGACCGCCGACGTCGGAGAGCGGCGGCCATCCGCGGACACGGCGCCTCGTGGGAACGACGTCGATGCCGCCGCGCGGTGTGCCGGTCGGAGCGCGCGCCGGCCGGGACGGAGGCAGCACGCGGTCTGGCGGGCCGGCCGGCCACCGCCTGGGCCGTCAGGCGGCGCCGGCAGCGCCTGGCGGCTCGGCCGGCGTGACACATTCGGCTGCTCCGATCGATACGTCCGCCAGCTTTCGCCGCGTTCTGATGGGACTCGGAGGTCATTTTGACGTCGATGGCGGTGCCGCACCGGAAAACCGGCCGTCCAGACGTTCTGCTCCACTGGTGAACGGCCGATTTATATCGCACGGACGGGGGATGCCGGTGCCGCGTGACAGTTGTTCCCGGGGTGAAGAGACTCTCGAATAATTCGGAGGCTGGAGGTGCATGAAAACTGCCCTGCTTTCATCTGGCTGTCCGGTATTCGTGGTGAAACGTGGATTCTGAGCAATTTATGGGATATTTATGATGATGATAACTCATTCCATGAAGCAAGACATTATTATCTAGTGCGTGCCAGAATGCGCATACAACTACCTGCTTGTGTCAAAACGTACGGAATGGGATCTACACGCAAAATGGAAGAAAAGCAGAGAGTTATGTATATATCCACTGGCATTGTTATGCATCAGGTATTTACAACGTTTGACTTTTCTTGCGTGCGACTCGCGAGAGCAGGGGTGAGTTGCTACAGACAGAGTCCATGTCAGTAGGCGGTTTTCCCAATGTATTTTTTTTTCTAACCAGTAGAAACTGGTGCATCTGTATCCTGATATTTTTTGTCAGGTACGACAGCCTATCGCCGCTTCTCTACGATGCGATCATGCGTAGATATCTCATGTTCAGCATTCGTGCGTTGGCTCTCAAAAGACGTCGCTTGGAATAATGGCTAGATGCTGGCCTTGGGCCAGTCGATTATACTTGATGGAAATGAATAAATTTGGAGTGACTAAGTTTTCGGTTTTTATGATTCAAAGCATGGGAAAGAACAGCAATGTTTTGGCCCCGGTCCAATCAACCAGTTTATACACCTAGTACATCTTGCATGGCGCGTTATCTCTCGGCTAAAGCACTGTTTGTCGAATACGAGGCTTGCAGCGGAAGACACGCCACTGACCGCCCTCCCGGTCTGTTGCCGGCGCACCTTTGAGTCAGATGTTGCTGAGGTGAATCAGTTTCTTTGGCCAGGATTATTGTCCACACTGTGCGGGTAGTTTCACGCGACTACCTGGTCTGGTCGCCCAGATGCCCACATCAATCTCCACATACGTCACGACGGGGACGGATTTATGGTTTACTCCCATAATGCGGGTCAAAGCTTGCGCATGACAGCCCGTACTAATGCCTGTGTGATTGTCTTTTTTTCTTCCCCGTCAAAATGCGTTGGTATAATGTTGCTGTGGCTCCTGTTTGTTGAGATCACGATCAGGCTTAGACCAACCAGCCTTGTCAGCTTTTCCACAATTGAAACGTTTTTACGGTCGTAGTGGTTTCACAGATATCGTGAAAGTGGGTTCTCACCAGGTCGGGCTGGGCGGTTTAACATGCGTTGAAGGTGCCGAAGTCCTAGTAATTTAGCGTTGAAACTCGCTTAATAAGCTCCTCTGTTTTGTAAAACAACTGGTAGGGGCGAATGTGGTGAGAACACAATTTGGATGAGCACCGAACGCTTAGCATCATGAGTTCGACAATCCTGTGTTCATGACGTTGGCTGTAACATATCTTTCCAATTGTTTCCGTTGCTTTACGTGTACATCCATCATCGTTCTTATTTATTCTGTGTGCATGGGGCTGAAAACCTTGGAAGCTGGAAATTGCTTTCTTACGAGCTAAAAAGAAGCGCTTCTACTTTATGAGCAAGATCAACCAATGCGCATGTTTAACTTACTTTGGTTGACGTCCTCCATGATGTTCGTCTCGTTCGGTGCTTCGGCTCGACCTGAAACGAAACATATCCTTCGGTAACATCTGGGTAAAGATGCAATCTATGCTGTCGTTTCATGCCGTTCCGGCACAGAATAAAAACACAAGTTCAGAGTAGCCTCTCCTCGCGTAGGCATGGGCAAGTTACGACTTTTGTTGCAATAAGAAACTTCAGTCATTTTCTGCAGTCATAAAGTGAAATATTTCTGGCTAGAACGCTTGATTAGTGAATTTGAGCAATCACGCCAGATTTACACACGTGAACGGAGATTCGGACAACTTTGTAAATAAATTGTGGTGTGAATAGCATGCTAACGTTGTTTTATTTGTCACCACCTGACAATTTGCAGTCGCTTAGCCGGGTCCATCATTGAACACAGCAAACCATTCCAAACGGGGTCTGAAGTTCTGGCGGAGCTGTTATGCAGGATTTTGCATGGCGTTATGCAGAGTGGAGAGGAAAGCATATCCAGCAACCACCTGCCGATAGCACACGGATGATAGGCCAAGTGAGCAAATGTATCCACGCGAAGGTTTCAGAAGACGATGGAGATTTCTGTCATGCGTTGTTGCATCGTGCACGCGTTCGAGATGTCTCCATTGTCGTAGGAGGCAGAGGCGTGCACGCCTTGCCACTTCACCGATAACTCTGGAGCACGTTCCAGGTGTGATTTTGCGCGTCTCTTGGCCGATAGCCCCATTCAGACCACCGGGCGCCGTGGACTCTTCCTGTAGACTTGATATCTCAGTAACCACATTGAGGAAAATGTGGGGTTAGATCTGAAGTGAGTCAGAGACTGGTTGTCTTTCGGCTGAGGATGCGCAGTACGCAATCCTGAGAGGCCTTCCAGCCAGGTCAAGGTCACGTGTGCGGGGGTCACTCCGTCTCGCTGGAACCAAGCGGTCTCCCTTTTCACCTGGGCTTCTTGATCCATCTGCCCCCGGAAGCGTTCCAGCATGCCAACGAACCTCGCCCTGTCAGCTGTGGGCGTAAAGCCGTCTCCACGTGAAAAGAGGATCCAATGAGGCACGTGGAACTCATTGTGCTCCACGCTGCCCCCTTTGAATTACGCAACGCGCTCTCAAGCACGATGCCTGGAATCTCTGAGGCCCACATCCGACAGTTCTGGGTGCTGGGCCATTCAAGTGGATGTGGGCCTCGTCGCTGCACCACATGTTCGGAAACGCAGGGTCGACTTCAGCCTGCGCCTTCAGCGAGAGTCAAATACCGCCCGTTGCTGTTTATCGGCTTCGGTCGCCTGCCGGTCGACGGCCACTTTGTGGAGAAATAGTTTGAGGTAATATTCCTGAGTCTGGCACACTGTTGCGTAACTGAAATGTCAGGTGCGTGGTAGAATGCCGGGCGGTGATCGGAAAACTCCGATTCGAATTCCAGAATTCCAAAGAAAGTTTTGTTTGTGATGCATACATGGCTGAACGCCGACCACCATCGAGTCCCTCCTAGGACCTAGTAGCCCGACAAAGGCCGACGACCGAAACGTGGTGTTCATACTAAAACGCTAGGCGAGGAAGGTAATTTGAGCAGTTGTTCCATCCGTCACCTTAATTCTACGTCTCAATCAATTCGTAACAGGACCTCTCACCATTCGCGTATGCATGTAGACCAGCACAGGAGGGGCATGGGACGTATATCTGTCATCTTTCCACGTGAGAGGACAACCCCAAAATTAAGAAAACTGCAAAGCAGTTTTTGCTGCGTAAAAAAATATTCTTACATACAATTCACAAAGCAGATCATACCGGAAGCATACCTCATTTTGAATTTAAGGATTTTAATCAAAACCGTCGTTTGAAGTGCTTGCCGATCAATAAACCACTTTATACGGTACAAGCACCTGCACACTGTTCAAAAGCGTTCTCGCTGTATTTCAGCACATGTTACATTAGCTTTGCTTCCTCTCCCGAACGCTTTCGAATGACGACCTGACTGATATACACCTGGTTGGTATGCGCATTGGGTTCCCCACAAAAAGGTGCGAGTCTCTAGCTTTTCTAGAACCGAACAAAAATACGTGATGGTCCATCACAAAGGAGACAGATCTCTGATTGTTACCAATTGAATAGAAAAACTTGCGCGATGTGAGACGT